TTCCTGATAACTCATTTCCTTCCTCCAATTTGTGTCCTCAATAAATATTTACAAATTTGAAAAGAAAATTCCAAAAGACTAAAATTACATGTATTAGTAAGCACAATATTTTATCCTAACTATTCTATCTGAAATACAGGTGTATTAGCAGGATTAAGTATTAGTATATATTTTCTTTTTGTTCTCTTGTTTTACCTATATCTGTTCTAGAGACACACGTTTTCCTAGATCAGAACTATCCAATATAACTATAACATGAGCCTGTTCACTTTTGCATATTCTAATAATCATATTAGAAAGTAGAAATATAGGTTATAATTAATATTATTATATTGCATTTAACCAAATATATCAAAATTATTTTTATATGCAACTAATATAAAATTACTCAGATATTTTAATCTTTTTCTTTGAAGTAAATCTTAGATTCTGTTATGTGTTTTATACCTTTAACATTTGTCATTTAGGTACTACATTTTCATTGAATGTGCTTGATCTCTAGATTTCATAAAATTTATAGTTGAAGATTAAATTTACATGCAAAAAATCCCATGCATATAAGTTTTCCTATAATTGAATTGAGTACCAAAATTTTTTATTTAATATTTACATCTATGTTTTCAAATTTGCTCTTATTTTATGAGAATGGGCTTGACTTTAGTAGGCAAAGCACAATAATTTTAAAACTTCACCTATCAAATTAAGTACATTCATTAACTCAGGTCACCTTGTACTTATTAAAAGAGAATTCCAAAAGGAATTGCATGAATTGAAAAGCAATTCTAAACTGATCATATGAACAGTATTTAAAATATTTTTCTTGTAGTGTTGCAGCTAGTGCATTGTGGACTTAATGCATGTTAGAAAAATAAATTAGTATTACTGGTATGAATTTTTAAAAGTCAATTTCAAAATTATTTCTAGTACTTTTAGTTCACTCAAAAGTAAATGTTTCCTTTATTGAAGTTTTAATGATAGTTTATTTATATGCAATGCAAAACAATCCTAAAATACATTTAATTTTTTTCTTTGATTACTGAAAGCAAGTACTATACATTTGTCTTAAAATTTTGAATTGGAGGCAAACGTACAGTAAATATTTATGTATGTATGTATGTATGTATGTATGTACTGGGGCTCAAACTCAGGACCTTCCACTTGGAGGCAGGGGGCAGCACCACTGAGCTAAATCTCGGATCTAACAGTAAATACTTTTAGAAATCTTCCATGGCTCAACCACTGAGCACTGGAGAAGAACTTAGGATCATTAAAGAGGTGGTCTTTTATTTCTTTTACAGTTTTCAAAATCTGGTTGTGACATATATTTAAGACATCTCTTTTAGCATCTGCTTCAAAAATCAAAGTATCTCATGCGCTCTGTGTGTGTGTATCTTTTTCATTTTGCTGTGCTGCAGGAATTTTTTTTCAGGAGAGAAATCAGGATTTATTACAGAATAAACCGTGGATGACCAATTAAGTCTCCTTTTGAGGTTGAATGGCAGACCATGTAAGGAAAAGGATTGGGAGTAGTAAATGTTCATGATACAGCACTATTTGGAATTTAATTGTATTTTGATGCCCATTACACATAATGCCCTTAAGAAGAGAGAAAATTATTAGATAATATATTGAAATTTTAAAATTAGATAAATTATTCATCTATTCCAAATAGGTTCTATTTTTTTTTTTTTCTCTTTTTTTGGTACTGGGGATTGAACTTGGGTCCTTGCGCTTGCCAGGCCACCGAACCACTGAGCCACTAAGCTGCTGAGCTAAATCCCCGGCCCTCTTTTATTTTAGAATTGTTGCAAGCCAATCTTTTTTCTTCTTATTTAAAATTGAGAGATAAAAATCATGTATTCTTATGGTCTATAATGCATTGCTTTTAAATGTGTACATTCCAGATTAATGTTACCTCAAAACTTATTTAAATAATGAGAACATTTAAAATCCACTGGTAACAATTTTGAAGTTACTATAAGTTATTAACATAGTAGTAACCATGTTATATATCTCTTGAAGTTAGTTCTCTTGCCTAACGAAAATTTTATATTCTTTGAAAAATATCTCAACTCACCTTACCCCCTGGTGTCTACCATTCTTTGCTGTGTTTCCAAGTGTTCACATTGTTTAGAATCTGCATGTGAGATCATACAGTGTGTGACTTTCTGTGCCTGGGTTATTTCACTTGTCATCATATTCTCCAGGCTTATCTATGTTGTCACAATAACAAGATTTTTTTTTTCTTAAGGCTAAGCATTTTATGATGTATATTGAGAACTTTTTCTTTATCCTGTCACCCTTTGATGGATGCTGGTTGGGTTGGTTCTGTATCTTGGATTTGTGAATAGGGCTGCAATGAACATGAGAGTGCAGGTATCTATTCAACATACTGATTTAATTTTTTATAGTATATTTCAAATAGTGAAATAGCTAAATCAAATTGTAGTTTCGTTTCTAGATTTCTAAGGAAAGTTTATATTGTTCTCCATCATGGATGTTCTGCTTTTATATTTCAACAGGGCCCAGGAAGTCTTTTTCTCCATATGCTCATTGACACTTGTCTTTATAATAATCATTCTAAAAGATGTTTAGTGACATCTTATTGTGGTTTTAATTTGCTTTTCCCTGAAAATTAATGATGCTGAGGTTTTTCATATATCTGTTGGCCATTTGTCTTTTCTCTGAGAAATGTCTATTTGAGTACTTTGTCAATTTAAGTCAGTTATTTCTTTTCTGGCTATTGAGTTCAGTTCCATATCTATTTTATATATCGACCTTTTATAATATGTAAATTTTGTGACTCTTCCCTCTCATTCTGTGGGTTATCTTTCCACTCCGTTGATTATTTCCTTAACTGTGCGGAAGCTTTTTCTTTTATGTAATTCCATTTGTCTAGTTTCACCTTTGTTTCCTGTGCTTTTGAGGTCAGTTCTAGAAACTCACTGTCTAGGTTAGTGTCATGGAGCCTCTCCCCTTAAGTTTTCTTCCACTAGTTTTATTGTTTCTGGCCTTTTGTTTTAAGCTTTTATTCTATTTTGAGTTTCAGTTTATGCATTTATTTGTTTGTTTAGCATATGTTTCCAATGCATGATAATTACATTTATTTTGGGAATTTGTCCATGTATATTTTTATTCCTTTATTTTCCCATCCTCCCCTCCCTCTTTTCTCTGATCCCCTTTGATTTTGGTTTTTTAAAATAGGTACATGTTTGTGATGATAATAATAATTACACTTATCTTGGGGAAAATAGGTATTGCACTTACTCTTTCTAATCTCCCCTCTCTTCCCTTCTGTCTCCTCCAACCCTAGGTCCCCTTCTCATCACCACAAAATCTATCTCCCTTTTGTATGTGGTGTAGGTAAGAGTCTGATTTCATTATTCTGGATATGTATATCCAGTTTTCCCCGCATCATTTATGGAAGATGCTGTCTTTTCCGTATTTTAGGTTTCTTATATTGTTGTTAAAAATCAATTTATGGCAAATGAGCAGATTTCTTTTGGAGTTCTCTATTTTGTTTGATTCATTGGTTTAGATGTCTGCTTTTATGCCAGTATTTCTGTCAATTATTGTAGCTTCACTACATATTTGAAATCCAGTAGTGTGATACTGCTTGTTTGTACTTTTTCTTCAAGATTGCCTTGGCTACTCAGCATACTTTATTTCTTGTGAATTTTGTATTTTTTTTTTTGTATTTTTCTACTGTGAAACAACTCTGTTGAAATTTTGCTAAAGATAGACATTATGTCTGCAGATTGCTTTAGGCAGAATGGATATTTTAATATTAAATTTTCCAATCCATAAGCACAAGCTATCTTTCTATTTATTTGTTTTTATTTCATTCATCAATATTTTATGGTTTCACTGTACATATATTCTACAATTTTAGTGAAATATACTCCTGTTTTATAATTTTGTTTCTATTATAAATGGGTTTTTCCTGCATTTGCTTTCCAGATAGTTTGTTTTTGGTGCATAGAAACACTGCTTATTTTCGCATGTTAATTATGTGTCTTGGAACTTTACTGTATTTATCCTAACAGATTTTAGAGTCTCTACAGTTCTTATAGTAAGATTCTATAATTTGAAAACAGAAACAATTTAACTTCCTCGTTTCTTGGGTTTCTTTTGACTAACCACTCAGTGTAGGAGTTTTGGCACTGTGTTGTTGAATAATGGTGGTGACAGTGGACATCCTTGTCTTGCTTCTAATCTTAAAGGAAAAGTTTTTATCTTTTCATCCATTGCCTTTGATACTAGCTGTGAGTTTTTCATATATGGCCTTTACTAGGTTGAGATACGTTTTTTGTATATCTAATTTGTTTAGAGTTTTTAACAGAGAACGAGCCTTTTGTTGGAGTGGATCATAGCTTTCATATTTGCTTTAAAATGGAAAAGTCATTTGGTTATATGATAATTAAATATTTCGATATATTTGTTAAATGCAGTTTACATAGATATTGCTGTTACTTCTGCAACTGCATGAAATATTGAAATAAACACATTATAACCTTATCCATGAACAGAAGGATACTATTTGAAATATCAGTCAATCCGTAAACACCAACTGGACTGGTGATAGGTTTATATGTAATATTAGAAATGATGACTATTCCCAATATGTACAGTAAAATACAATATCTCACATGACCCAAAAGTTCAAGTGAAATATAACCCTATGAAAATAATAGTCATTTTATAAGTGTTTCATACTGTTTAAAGATTTAAATATAAATAAATCAAAAATAAAATGAAAAGTTAAATTCTTTGCTAGCCACTTTCAACAGCCAAAAGTAGCTGTTAGCTACCATATCAAGTAGTACAGTCCTAGCTGCTGTGCCTGCATCTCTTAATGTTTAATATCAGTAACTTATTATATAAACAGTCCTGCCTTACAATGGTTCCACTTAAAAATTTTCAGCTTTATGATGGTATCAAAACTGATCTGCATTCATTGGAAATTATACTTCAAGTTTTAAATTTTGGTCTTTTTCCAGGCTGGTGACATGTGACCTGATGCCCTCTTCCTGATAAACGCTGCTGCTCCCAGCCATCCACAGTCATGAAGCTAAGCAAGTGATGCTCCAAAGGGCACGTGGGTGAGTTCCGACCTGCAAAAATTAGGGGAATTAGATGCATTTTGGTCATAGTACTTTCAAATCATCATGGGTTTGTAGGATAAAAACCTCATAAAAAATCAACAAGCATATCTATATCTTAATTACAATATTTTTTCAAGGAACATACTTCTTGGAATTGTGTGCTTTCTCTAAAACCGTTTTTCTTCTTCTTATCTAGCAGTTGCTGAGTTTTTATAAATATTATGTGAATGAATTAATAAATGTATACTTTTCCACTGTTTTATATTTTCTTCACTGGTAGGTTCCTCCAGTGTACTGAGAGTGATTTTGTTTTTATAGATTTTTGTTTTGATTGTTCTAGGGATCAAATGCAGCACATTATATATGCTAGGTAAGAACTCTACCACTGAGCTTTGTCCCCATCCAAAGGCATCTGTAGAAAGAAAAAAAAATCCATTTAATTCTTCATCAGCTTTCAATTTTTATCAGTATATTCCAGAAAATTTGATTTGTTCTTGAGTCCCTTATGGTGAAAATGTCAATCACAAGATTAAAGAAAAAAAAATATCAAAGGCCTCCTCCCCAAACCACCCAATCTTATCAGTTATCAACTTATAACCAATCTTGTTTTATTTGCTTTCCCCCAATTTCTGCTTTTCCCCACCCCCATGATCACTCTACTGGATTATAGGAATAGCTCACAAAGGCCTCCCCCAAACCACCCAATCTTATCAGTTATCAACTTATAACCAATCTTGTTTTATTTGCTTTCCCCCAATTTCTGCTTTTCCCCACCCCCATGATCACTCTACTGGATTATAGGAATAGCTCAGAAATATTGTGCAATTTGAGTTCAGATCACTATATTGAAGTGAATAGCACCATAAAGCAAGTTAAAGAGATTTTTTGGGTACATATTTATTTTATATTGTAGTTTATTTTATATTGTAGTATATATATATATACATATAAAACTTAATTTTTTTTCTCAAAACGTTAATGACGTGCTTACTGTGGGCTTCTGCAAGTTGTAAATTTTCTGCTGGTGAAGTTTTGCCTAGATGTTGATGGCTGCTGACAGATTGGGGTGGTAGTGGTTGCAAGGGTTCGGGGAGACGGTTGAAATTTCTTAAAAATAAACTAAATTGTGCTGCACTAATTTATTCTTTCCATGGAAGATTTCTTTGCAGCATGCAAAGCTATTTGGTACTGTTTTATCCACAGTAGAATCTCTTTCAACATGGTTTCAGTCCTCTCAAATCCTATCACTGCTCTATAAATTTAGTTCATGCATTGTTTTAAATTATGTTTTGCCATTTTAATATTGTTTACTGCATCTACACCAGGAATAGCTTTTATCTTGGAAACTACATTATTAGCTCATCTCTGGGAAGAAAGACCTCCTCTGTTAAAGTATTATTTTGGGATTCAAATAATTCAGTCACATCTTCTGGTTCCACTTCTAATTTAGTTTTCTTACCATTTCTACCATTTCTCACCCCTTAAAGTAGTTTGAATCAATATCTCGTCTTCCAAATCCATGATCCTCTTGACATCCTCTTATAAAACACAATTTTTCAAAAAAGTTGTTCAGAACTAGGGATTGAACCCAGGACCTTTTCACTGAGCTTCATTTCCAGCCCCTCTCCATTTTTATCTTAATATGTCATTAAGTTGCACAGGCTGGGCTTGAATTTGTAATCTTCCTGCCTCAGCCTCCCAGAGTACTAGGCTTACATGAATGCACCACCATGCCTGCTTCAAATACTCTTAAGGGCATCTAGAATAGTAATTCCTTTCCAGAAGATTTTCTGTTTACTTTACCCATCAGAAGCATCACTATCTATAAAACTGTAGTCTGTAGAAGGTATTTGTTAATTAATAAAACTTGAGCAGGGCACAGTGGCACACAGCTCCTACCACTCTGGGAGGCTGAGGCAAGAAAATCACAAATTCAAGTCCCATTTTAGTCAATTCAGCAGGTTAGAGCGATCCTGTCTCAAATATAACATTAAATAAAAGGGCTTAGAAAGTAGCTCAGTGCAAAGGCCATGGGTTCAATGCCTAGGACCAATTAATTGTAACAACAGCAACAACAATTATAATAATACATGAGTGTCAAACTTTCTTCTTGATCCATGGGCTCTGGAATGGATGCTGTGACAGCAGGTATGAAAACAATGTTAATTCTATTGTACAACTGTAATACAGCTCTTATGTGATGAATACATTGTCACTCAACAGTAATATTTTGAAAGGAATCTTCTTTTTCCTGAGCAGTGGGTCCAAACACTGGGCTTCATATATTCATTCAACCTTGTTATAAACAGATATGTTGTCATCCAGGCTTTGCTGTTCCATTACAGCTGAACTGGAGTAGTTTGTTTTGCCTCAAGAGCCCTGAGATTTTCAGAATGGTAAAGGAACATTAATGCGTACTTAATATACTAGCTGCATTATCCCCGAACAAGAGGGTCAGCCTGTCCTTTGAAGATTTGCCTGGGTCTTGGCTTCTCCTCTCTAGCACATTATTCCAATAGAAAATGGCTTCATCTTCATTGAAATCTGTTGTTTAATGTACCCTCTTCATCAAGTCAGAACTTCTGGATAACTTGCTGTAGCTTCCACCTCAGCACTTAGATGTTAGGGAGATGGGTGCTTTCTATAAGCCTGATAAACCAACCTCGACTACCTTCACACTTATTTTCTGCAGCTACCTAACCTTTCTCAGTCGTCAGAAAGTTCAAGAATATAAAACCTTTTCCTAGATTAGACTATGGCTGACAGGGGCTGGTCTTATCTTCCATTCAGGCTGCTAAAACTTTATATCAGCAATATTTCTGGTTAGCTCTAGAGTCACTCATGTGTTCACTGAATTAGTACTTTTAATTTTTGCCAAGAACTTCTCCTGTGTAGTAAGAATTTGGCTATTTGGCCCAAAAGGCATACCTTTGGGCTTATTTTGGCTTGACAAACCTTTCTTAGTAAGTTTAATCGTCTCTAGCTTTTGATTTAAAGTCATAGATATGTGACTTTTCCTTTCACTTGAATGCCCACAGTCTTAGTAGGGCCCTTATTTGGCCTATTTTCAATGTTGTTCTCTTTCAGAAATTAGGGAAGCCTGAACATGGTGTCTCAAAAAAATTACACCAGTAACATCAAAGATTTCTGATTATAGATCACCATAAAAGATACATTTGTAAAGAAAAGGGTTTTAATATTGCCAAAGTTACCAAAATGTGGCACATAAGTACAAAGTCAGCATGTATTGTTGGAAAAATATTGCCAGTGGACCTGCATGATATAAGTATGCCACAAACTGAATTTTTAAAAAACACAATACCTACAAAATTCAATAAAACTCACTCAGATATAGTTCACTGTTGCACTAACATAAGGTAAGTACTTTTAAAAACATAAAGGCAGCACCAGTTAACACCATCTCAAAATTTAAAATAGCATAAGGGCTGGCTGGTCAATATTCAAATTTTCCTATAAGGGAAATTTACAGTTTATTTTTCTAATCTGGATCCAGACAAATTCCAGATTAATTTTAATTTTGTCTTACTCTGTAAGAATTTCTTCTATATCCATTTTATTCTTTGCTGTTTTTGAGACAGTGTCTCACTATGTAATTGAAAGTGACCTGGAACTCACTATGTAGCCCAGGCTGGTCTCGAACTCACAGTGATCCTCCTGCCTCAGCCTCCCGAGTCCTGCAATTACAGGTGTGCACCACAACCTGGCTCTCTGCTATTTGTTTTTAAAGAAACAAAACCATTTTTTCATGTCTATATTCTTTATTTTTCTGTGGACATCCTGGGATATTATTCAATATGTCCATCTATAACCTGCATGTTTTGAGGGTTGAATCTAGAGACTAGATAAATTTTGTGGCCTTTTGTGTAACCAATATCTTTGATTTCAACTCTTTTCAACCAACCCAGTCATTACCACTCATATGAATGCTTTCTAGCCACCAAATACAGGTCCTAAAATTTCCTCATGTTCTATCATTCTATGTGGGTTTATATATTCAATTTAATTAAAACAACACTGAAACTTCATGTTACTCCAGAAAGAATGGCAGTCACCAAGACATCAAATAATCACAAATACTGGGGAGGCTATGGTGAGAAAAGGAATCCTTCATTGTTGGTGGGAATGTAAATTAGCTCAACCACTGTGGAAATCAATATGCAGTTTCCTCAAAAAGCCCAAAGTAGCAATTCTGTTTAACCCAGCTATTCTCCTACTGGAGCTAGACATTATAGTACAATGGTAGATGTATGCTCAGCTTATAGCAGCCCGATTCATAATAGCTAGATCTTGGAAGTGGTCTACAAATTCATCAACAGATGAATGGATAAAGAAGGTGTGGTATTTGTGCACGGTGCCATAAAGAAAAATTTGAGTCATTTGTAGGAAAAATGATTGCAGTATGAGACCAGAATGTTAAGTAAAATAAATCAGACGTACAAGCTTAAATATTGCATGGTTTCTCTTGTATGAGAAACCCAAAATATAAATAAGAAGCAAAATAAAAGATAGATAAGAGGAGGGAGATAGATCTTTTGCAAAACGGGTGGAAGAAGAGGGAACAGTGCTGAAAAAGAATCAAGATGTTTCATGTACTGACTCACCATGAGGAATATAATCATTATGTACTACAAACATGTCCTAATAAAAAAATTGAAAAAAAATAAAAAATACTTAATATCATTCAAGAAGGTGCAGAAATAAATGATTATATCCAATTGCATTTTATATTTCAAATCAATAATTTGTATTTTTTCCTCCTTTTTATTGCAGTTAGTCTCTCTAAATTTACCAAGAACTTTCTCATTAGCAGGTCCCACTGAAGGTCTTAATAACTGCAACTGTTCATGAAACCTTTATCCTTTCAAATTGTGGAGATTCTGAAGTTCCCCTGGTACTTCTATTTCTGGATCCTTTTTAAAATTTCATTTTTATTATTTCTTATTCCGTCTTTTGGCTTAAGAAACCTCTTTTCTTTC